TAATAATAATAATACAAACTTGTATAGCACTTTTTAGGATACTCAAAGACGCTTTCCAAGAGGGAAAAAAAAGATTATTAGCTGGCTTAGGAATAGATATAGCCTCCTGCTACAAGGATGTAGCAACCGCTGGTTGAGCAATAGTCTTGATTTTGGCCCTAATACCGCACCATAAATTTTAGCTACAATTTGAAAGATTTGAGAGATTATCTGACTCTTTGACTTTCTGCRATTCTCCATCAAATATGCCACTGTGCTCAGAATGCTAATTACTCCTCAAATGTTGTGTCKCTTAAATAATTAGACTTCATGATCTTTAATGTCATTGAAAAACAAGTTTCTCTGTGAAAATCCCTGCTGTCAGGATCCGAGTGGTTATTTTTTACCACAGTAAACGTGATTATAAGGAGTTTGTAGAAARAAAATGCCTGAAACCAAAGCAAACACTGAATCAAAACAACCCCCTCCGTCTTCAGGATAATGAAAAACTCACTTCAGTAAACCTGCAGTGCTACACTGTCATGTCAGRGTGGCTGACACAGAAACCAGTTTGTTCATGAACACAAATAAAGGTAAGTGAAGCAAACAGTGCAGAACCACTTTGTAAGCTGTTTTTTTTCTTTAAGCTCACCTTGGTGCCCGCTGTTATCATAACCTCATGTTCCGGTACAGAACTGCTTTTGTTTTACAGCTATGACATCAGCTGCACACACACCATGACTAAGATAATCACTTCAGGAAAACTGAATCAGACAATAAGACCTTAATAAGCCTGCATGCCTGAGGCGGCGGGTCAGCTGGGTGTTTACAGTGAAGCTCCTCAGGTGTTATCATGGAGGCTGAAAGCTGAAAGGCAACAGGATGATCGGAAAAAGGAGTATTTTTTTTAACTCTTCTTACTAAAGTTTCATTAAGCCAGCTTTGTTTCTGTTTTCTTAACAAATAGTTTGAGCTTAACAAAAWGAAGTAGTTAGAAATCCAGTCTGCACATTATGAACGTTCACTCACAGGAAATTAACAGAAAGACCTTTTTCTCCTCCTCCCTTCCTTTTCTCTTTGGAGCATTTTTCTGATGACAGCTTGTTTTTTTTTTCTGCAGGAAACAGAACGCTGCTTATTGCTGTGAATCCTCCCTTTTGTGTTACCAGAAAATAAAATAAGAAAAAATATATAATTCCATGTGTTTTACTCTTGCAAACAAAGCTTGAGTTAAATGATGAACAAATCTTAAATTCAGCAGAAAAGCTAATGCTTTTGAAAATAGGTTTTTAAACCAAATCACACTCAATACAGAAGCTTTTTTCCAGTTATATAAATCCATTTTTTGCAGTTAAATAAATCCATGTTTTGCAGTTAAATAAATCCATGTTTTGCAGTTTAATAAATCCATGTTTTGCAGTTAAATAGTCAGAAATGTTTCAGAGATTTCTAAACAACAGAACAGACGGTTCCTGCTTCCTTCCTCAGACCATCAGGGTGGTGGTGTTTCTGCAGCTACAAATGTGTTTCCCACAAATGTTTCAAACTAATAAATTGCTTTGATGACTGATTTAGGTTATTCACAAAGCTACCACCCCTAATTACACCCAGTTTTATATTTTTTCACACTGGTTGTTAATCTATGTGAGCTAGAATTAGAATAAAACCAAAGAAACGTCCCTCCTTTATTTCATTACATTTTGTAGACAAACAAATTAAAGATCTAAGTAAAAGCCAATTGCTTTTGACTTGAACCAGTTTTTAATGTTATAAACTTGAAAATTCACACAAATTTATCTGATATTGTCCTGGTGGGCCGTAAAACATTCATGTGTGCCAAATTACATTCAGATTTATTTTCTAAACTTTGACTAATCTGCATGAAAGTGGTAGAGTTTTTAAACTTTTGGAGATCTCAAGAATACAGTAGATTAGGATCAATCAATCATCCTTTTGTTTTGTTTTTTAATTCTGTGGTGTTTTTCCATCTCAGACCCGTTTCTGTTGACTTTAGACAAAGTGCAACACCCCAATCTACAGCCTGACATGCTTTTATCACTTCAACACTTCAGTCTTTCCTGTAGCTGATTTATTATGGCACCATTAAATTATAAGAGTCTCACAGACGTGTTGGCTCAACCGTACATCATTACAGTGACTCATGTTCCTGTCGTGCAGGCATGATTAGTAAGAATGAGGCAAAACAAGCGTCAGGAATTCAGAGTAATTATACTGTTGAAAAGCAGGCTTCTTATAAACTGCTAAAATCTTGTCACTGTTTTTATTGGAATAAAAGTACACCAGTTTTTTTTGTTTGTTTGTTTGTTTGTTTTTTGTGTGTGTGTTTGTGTGTGAATTACTCAATATTTACCATCCTTTGGACAAGTTAAAAAAAAATTTAAGAGCTTCCCAGTGCAGAATGTATTCTGTCTTTTAACTCTAGCATATTGTAAATAAAACAAATTTTTAGAATGTTGGAAAAAAACAGTATTATCTTTTATAGGCGGCTTCAACACTTGTTTAAGGGCAAATGTTGTGTTTTATACAGTGTTGTATAAAGTACCTCAAAGTGACGCTTGAGTAAAAGTACAAGTATCTTATCCTGAAATTACCTTGGTACAAGTTAAAGTCTCCTCCAAGAATATTACTTGAGTAAAAGTCTTAGAGTATCAGATTTTTTTTGTACTTAAGTATCAAAAGTAAACGTTTGACATAAAATGTACTTAAGTATTAAAAGTAAAAGTAGTGAGTAAAAATGAGTGGTTAGTTTTACCAAAATGACATTTATTGGGAGGTGAACTTTCCAAAAAAATATTTATTTTTTCTAAAGGCGTGCAGCTGTGATGGATTGTGTACAATTTGGTGTCAGAATTAGGGATGTCCCAATCCAGATTTTTTGGCTCCAGATGCAATCCGATTTTTTAAATGATTTATCTTTCCGATATCGATATGATACCGATCCGATGGCTTTATTTCTTTATTTCTTTCCCACCACGAGAAACATCCAGTTTGCAGATTTTGCAAGATGCAGTTTCAGCATCATTGTTTTCCCTTGAAAAGTGTTCCCACACTGTGGACATGGTTGCATACTTTTGTGCGTCTTGACTTCTTAATGGCAGTTGTAAAGCATGATGATGCTGAAAAATGTCGCGAAAACTGGATCGGCCCGATCACATGACTAAATCCAATTCTACCCGATTTTCAAAAAATGGCCATATCTGCCACCGATACCGATACTGAGTATCAGATTGGGACATCTCTAGTCAGAATGTTATATATTTATACTTCTCATCAAACTATCATTAAATTCACTCTATCTAGGAGGCACAATTTAAATGGATAATAAATAAATAAATAAATATATATATATACAGTGGTTTGCAAAAGTATTCATACCCCTTGAAC